AGGAGACCAAATCCTGTATGTAAAAGCAGAGAGCCGTTATTCAAGCTCTGACTTGGATACGTGTGGCAACCAGTTTAACCTTGGTGCCAGGTGACCAGCTGTCCTCAGGTGCCATCTGCCCTGTTTCTCTGAGTCAGGAACTCTCTCTGGAAACTAGAGCTCGATGATTTAGCTAGGCTAGTTGTCCATCAATCACTAAGGATACCCCTGTTTCTTCTTTGACAGTGATGGGATTATAAATTTAATCCACGAGGCCCAGTTTCCATGTGGGTGCTGGGAATTGAACTCAGGTCCTTATACTTACACAGGAAGTACTTTCCCAACTAAAACTAGAGCTCTGTGTTCAATTGTGCAGGGATTCCAAGCTCTACTCCCAGATCATTTGTGGCTTTAGCCTAAGCACTTAAGGCCTCAGTCACCCCAACTGTACAAAGATAAAGAGGGCAGATTGGCAAAGTTCATCCCCGAGAAGCCTGTGGCGCCTGGAGGCAGCAACTGAACCATGAAGAAAACGTGTTGGTCTCGCTGTGCTAATCCTTTTGTGCTCTGCCCATCCCTCTGTCACTAGCGGAAGGGCACGTGACTGTGGGTACCACTTCCCTATTGCTACATAATCACTGCTCAAGACCTAGAAGCTGAAGTAATGTACTTGTATTCCCGAACAGCCTGTGGTTCAGAAATCACATGGTCTTGATAGGTCTCTCTGCCTGAGGCCAAAATCAAAATGCCTGGCAGAGTTCTCCTTTCTCTAGGCTTTAGAGGCAAATTAGCTCCTAAACTCACTGAGATTGTTGACGTTGAGTTCTTATAGAACTCGGGTCCTCTAGCTGGAGTCAAGCAAGGCCATTTCCAGTCCATAAAGCCCACCTGCTTTCCTTGGCTTACGCCCTCTGAAAAGGCATCCATAGCAGGAAGAGTTTGTTCTGTGGTTCCAGTCTGGCTCACTTCCTATGTCATCCCTTCCTGACTTTTTTATGGCTGAGATTACATATATATATATATATGTGTGTATATATATATATATATATATATACTGCCATGTTCCATTTCATATGGTATGGGGATTTTGTTTGTTTGTTTTTCAAAACAGGGTATCTCTGGGTAGCCCCGGCCATCTTGAAAGTCTGTAGACCAGGCTGATCTCGAACTCGGAAATCCATCTGCCCCTGCCTCCTGAGTGCTGGGATTAAAGGCGTGTGTCACAACCACCTGACTGATGCTAGGGACTAAACCCAAGGTTTAGTGCATGTTAGGCAAATACTCTACCAGCTGAGTTGCTTCCCCAGTCTCTCTTCTCCACCCCATTTTTTTTATCCTCTTCTGACTTTCTCTCCCTAATTTTCTACTTCACTTCTGTTCCTCGTCCTGCGACAGTGCCTCAGACCTTAGGAGGTTCCAAGACTTGGCACGACTGAGACCATGATGAAAGTGCCATTCAGGCCATAAAACTGAGCATGTAGGCAGTAAGTACCACCTTCCAAAATGAAAACAGAGACCTAATCCATCAAAGTCCACAGTTCTGGGACAATCTCTAAACCTTGCTATTATGGTGTCTGTAGCTCTGCATCAGGCTAACTATTCTTGTTAACTGAAGTATGTCAACCCAGAATATGGGTTTTGTGCTTAAAAGCTCACCCTAAGAAAGGCTTGAGGCTTCACTGGGATCCCAAACACCCAGTGTAGTTGCCAGCCTGCTAGTAAAGACTTTCTATTGACTTAAACCGATGTCCGAGCAGTCTTCTCTAGTAGATACCCCACAATGTTCTACCTTTGAAGCCCCTGTGATTGCAAGAACCCCAATATGACTCTGTTTTAAAGTCAATGGACTTGGACTTCATTTCAGATGGAAAGCCCCTTCCCAGCAGTATTTGACCAGATAGCCTGAAGAAAGGGGCCTAAAGATTCTACTGAGTGCCTGTCCCCACAAGGTTCTGCCACCAGCCCCAGGTTTCAGCATCACCACTGCAGAGGCACAGAAGCCAAGATCCATGGAGAAGACACCTCACAGGGGCAAAGGGCAGACAAACTCACCACCAAAGCAGGAACCAGAGCTCAGGACACAGAGCGTTCTGGGCTTTGGTGAAGTCTACATGTGGTCAGTTACCATTCCATTGTCATGCTCAGGGCTATGCTACATTTGCTGGTCAACTATATTTAACCCTGCTGGAAGACAAGGACACTTACTCATTTTGTAGACGAGGAAACTAAGGCCCTCTGAGAATAAGCCATTTGTTCAGATGATGGCAGGGTGGGTGTGTAGTAAGATTGGAACTATGCATTGACCTCCAAGTGACCAAGTAGGTGCCCTCCGCTCTCTCTATACCAGGGGCCTCCACCCTCTGATATCAATCTCTTATCATTAGGTCATTAGACTAGCTCTGGGCCAATTCAATACTCAGGGCTCTTACATCTTGCTTCTCTCCAGGTGGCCAGAGTGACAGAGGGATGAGACAGTCCCAGCACATCTGCAGGGTAGGCCATCCATCAGAGCAGGGATTTACACTCCAAATAGTAAGCATGTAGGCTCACTACAGAGACATTGTCCTCAAAGCATAACTCACTTCCAAAAGGGCATCAGCACTATCAGAAGGATGCGTGCAGCAGCTGGAGAGATGATTCAGTGGGTCAAGTATTTGCTGCACAAGAGCAAGGACCAGAGGTCAGATCCCCAGAACCCATCAAAACTCAGACAAGTATGGTACCTTCTGTTTAATTGCAGCATTCAAGAGGGATTGACCATAGCAAGCTGACTGACTAGAATAGCTCAAATCTGATCAATAAATTAAGCAGATTAAGACACCTAGAGTTATTTGTTCCTTCATATGCATGTGCGCACTCACTTACATGAAACACCTGCACACACACGTGCCCACACTTTTTTTTTTTTTTTTTTTTTGGTATTTATGAGACAGGGTTTCTCTGTATTGTTTTGGAGGCTGTCGGTCCAGCCCGGCCTCGAACTCACAGAGATCCGCCTGCCTCTGCCTCCCCAGTGCTGGAATTAAAGGCATGCGCCACCACCGCCCGGTGGTGTAAGTGCATGCATGAATGTGGGTGCTTGGCTATATATCTATATCTATATATACATAAATGCAAGTGTTCTTCAACTTCCGTGCTTGAAAACACTATAAACCAACGGTGCATTTTACTTTATATCCAACTTACCAACCATCACAGCTACTGGAAATGTGTTTAGAAGACCCACATTAGCCGACAGTTGGCCAAGACCATTTGACATAAAGCCCATTTGACATTAAGCCCATTACATAATAAAGACCAGATCAGCTCATGCCATTTGCCTCATACATTTTACTTCAGAACGCCAGCTGCTCCCCTTCACTAGCTCTCAGCTGACAGGAGCTGCAGGTTAACTGAAGCTGCTGCCATGGAAAGAGCTCAAAATTCAAAATGAAATCACACTTTCACCTGCATATTGCCGTCACAGAATCATCAAGTCAGAAACCCTAAAATGGGAACCCTTTGCATAGTATCTGTTCTTGGAGCTGTGTTCCGAGGCCTGCCAGAACTGATAAGTGATTCCCGTGTAGATTCGATGTCCAACCTGCTATCCAGACCACCCGAGAGACGTGTCTTTTTCTGGTGGCTCCTGGTTTGGTTTGGTTATTCAGTGTGTATGTGTCTGTTTCTGGCAATACTAGACATTGAACCTAGATCCTCCTGCAGCCTGGGCCATACTCACTGAGTTACATCCTGAGCCCTCAGGCTCCTAGAGTCCTGAGAACTGGTCAGACACAGTAAACCAGTGGTTTGAAACCTTCCTAATGCTACAACCCTTCAATACAGTTCGTCATCTTGTGGTGACTCCCAACCATAAAATCATTTTCACTGCTGCATCCTAATTGTAATTTAGCTACTGTTATGAACCATAATGTAAATATCTATGTTTTCTGATGGTCTTAGGTGACCCCTGTGAAAGTGTGGTTTGACCCCCAAAAGGGTCACAACCCACAGGTTGAGAAACACTGCACTAGACCAAATCTTAAAAACAACTCCTGGACTCTGTTCCGCTGGAAACTGAAAGGCAGAATCTGACATAAGAAGTTCAGGAGAGGAAGGTCATTCAGCAGCCCTCATCAAAATGCCATGGGCTGCCAAGGGATATTTGTTAAGGAGGCTGAAGCAAGAGCATTACAAGTTCAAGAACAACCTAGGCTACATGGGAAATGATAAAATCACTTCAGAGGTAATATGAATGCCACTTAGCCCTGCAGTGGTGGCGCACACCTTTAATCCCAGCACTTGGGAGGCAAAGGCAGGTGGATCTCTGTGAGTTCCAGGCCAGCCTGGTCTACAGGACAACCAGAGAAACCCTGTCTTGAAAAACCAAAAAAAAAAAAAAAAAAAAAAAAAAGATTGCCTCAGTAGGCTCAGAGTCCCCTCAGTAAGCTCAGAGTCCCTAAGGGGAAAACTGGAATCATCTATTCCTAAGGGCTCGGATCCGCGTTTGAAACAGCAACAACAAAAACAAAACTGCCATTAGGCAGGGTGGTGATACGAGTAGGACAACCTGGCCTCTACAGATGCCAGACCTGCAGACCTGGCCTTATGTTGGCTGAATTCCCTTTTCTCCTTCAGAGAAATCCTGGCAAGGGCTGCTTGGTTCAAAATGTGCTTTGTTTATTTCCTGAAGACCTTAAATGTATCCATTTCCTCCTTCAGACTTGCAAAAGTAGGTTCAGTGCATCTACCCCAGAATAAACCCAAAAGCCTGTTGGGAGCAGTCAGGACAGCCCTCATGTTCCTCTGTTCCCGGGAAAGGCCAGCCAGGGAGCTGAAACCCCCCATGGAGAAGAGGTTTCCGGAGTTAGGGACACACGGGGGACTGGGCATCAGGCCGTGCTCCCTCCCATTTGACGGGGACAAGCCACCAGGGCCTGGTCCAGAGCCCTTCCTTTCCTGGAAAAGAGCAGGAGTGTAGTGGAGGGAGGGGACGGAGGAGGAACCAGAGTCGCCAAGGCGGAGGCTAGCGTCGCCCCACCTCCCTCCTGCCGTGGGCTCCTCCGGCGCTCCATCGCACCCGGCATTGAGCGCCGCGATGTGGGCCGCGCTGTCGCTGCTGTGCGCCGGGGCCTGGCTGCTGAGTGCCCGGGCCACCGCCGAGCTGACCGTGAACGCCATAGGTACGTGGGACAAAAAGCGGAGCGCAGGGCTCCCGGGGCACTGGAGGGGAGCCCCGGGGTGATCTCGGGGAACCCGTGATCCGAGGGACAGGCCGGCGGGTGACCAGAGTCCCTCTTGTCCAGGCCTAGATACAGAAGCCCTCAACCCTTTCTGCCCTCCACCTGGGACAGCTGGAGATGCAGAACTTTCTTGCCCTGCCACGCAGCAGGACGTGCCAGCCCGTTCTCACTGTTGGTGGACTTGGCGCCCCCGGGATCTCCCTGCCTTGGTTGTTAGTCCGTCTAACAAACTAACAAACTTCCCGCCCCGAGAAACACACTGTACCCCCAGTTTTAACCCTAGTGTGTGTGGTGTACGGGAAGAGTTGGATCAGAAAATCAACCCTAACTTGGCAAAGCGCAACCGAAGACTAGCTAGCAAATATTTTAGTTCTGTACATCGTAGGTCTCCGTAGCAACTCCTAAACGCCCGCTTGTGGGATAAAAGCATCCACGGGTAGCTTGTTCTAATGTTTATTTATGGACAGTGAAGTTAGAAGTTAAATGATTTTCAGGTGCAGCTGTTCTTACACAATACACACACGCGTGTGCCCTGCTTGCCAACCATTTTTTTTTTTAAGCGTAAAGAGCCCTTCAATCAAAGTCAGGACTCGAGCAGTGTGGGCTGTGCTTTTCTAGCCCTGCTGTCGGTCTTTCGGCGGGACATATACAAAACTATTTTTGTTAATGATTTTATTAGCATATATTAACTAAACATAATGATGGGTTTCATTATTATATTCTCATACATGTATTTAACATACTCTGATGATAAAATTTCAGCCTTCATAACCCTCTACTCACTTTCTTCCTCTTCCCAGCCTGTCTCTTTTCTTTCCTCGTTCCCTCTCTCTCCCTCCCCCCCCCCCCACTTTAAACCCTATTTGACCCTATGGATTTTATTAGGGTTATTTACAGAAACGGACCATGTCCGAGAGGCTTCAGGCCTAAAGAAGATGTATTTTCCCTCCACCAGCAACTGTATTTGCCTAGCGATGGGACCTTGTGGTTCCCCTCCACCCATCTTTGGTTTTGTTTGTTCTGTTTCTAACTCACTGTGCAGCCAAGGATGAACTTCAACTCCTAACCTTCTTGCCTCTCTCCCCCAAGTACTGAGTTTACAGGCATGTGCCATGCCCTAGTCATAAAAACAGTTCCTTTACAGAGAGAGCCCAGTGGGAAAAGCACGTGGTATACAAGCTTGAGAGCTTGGTGTACAAGTTCTGATCCCCTGAACTATGTAAAATTCGGGCAGGCACAGGAGCCTCCTGCAATGGCAGCACTCCGGACAGTGATGGGGGTCCTGTGGTAAGTAGGTTAGCTAGATTACTGTGAGCTCTGGGTTCAAGAAAGTGGAGAGAGAGAGGGAAAGGTGACATGTCCAAGCATACACAGTGCACCCATACACTGCACACCCTCTGTACACACATACACATGTAAGATAATAATAAATGAACAGTCATAGTAAGCTTAGGATGGATCTGAGGCTCCCCTAAGGTCATCCGTGTTTTTATCCACCGGTGCTCTATGACAAAATCTCCCCTCATGTTGGTTTGGAAACCCCCCAAGAGGCCCAGCCATAAACTTCTGCCAGCTGCAGAGCCTGGTCTGGGCTGAGGTTTGTCTTCTCCGAAGAATTCAGCCACAGCAGGCCTTTAACCAGGGTTTGGAATCCCCTGAGCCCTGGGACCTGTCGGGAAGAACCAGGCTTTTTCTTCCCAAGAGAAAGGGCCCTGGTTTGCTGCTGGAGCAGGTCTGGGGCTTGTGGATTGAGATGTAACTGGCACATCCCAATAACCTTCATATTGCTGGCATGGGTCCCTGGGGACCCCTGAGGCAACATGGGGCCGTTCCAAATGATCCAGATTCAGAATCCCAGGACTCACAGAGCCAAAGCATGAAGATTGTGAGTTCAAGGCTAGCCTGGGCTATATAGCCAGACACTGTTCTAAAACACATACAAAAGATACAGTTGCACTCAAGTTTTACTTTTTTAGGTTTAACCATGACTTTTCATAGTATAAAATACATATGGAAAAATTAGTCAAAGTTTTCATAAAAATTATTATTGCTTAATCTATAATATTTTTTCGGGAGACAGGATTGTTCTGTAACTTTGGAGGCTGTCCTGGAACTCACTCTGTAGAACAAGCTGGCCTCGAACTTACAGAGATCAGCCTGTTTCTGCCTCCAGAGCAGTGGGATTAAAGGTGTGCACCAGCCCCGACCAATTAGAATAAATTTTTAATGCTTAGGAAGCAAAATAATTTTAATTGATGTTTTGTTGTTGCAGAAAAGGATATAGGGTTATTTAATATAATATAAGGCTAAAATTCTGTGGCACAAAAAGATGATGTTCAAGGAGAAAAATGTGTAAAATATCAAACTCTTTTGTTGTTGGTGGTGGTGTTTTGAGGCAGCGTCTTTTATGTAGCTCAGGCTTCCTTGAACTCCTCCAGATCCTTCTTCCTCAGCTTCCCAGGTGCTAGAATTAGCAGGCTTGTGCCTCCTTGACCAGCAAGCTGTCCAACACTGTGTTTATATGGGGGACAGCATATAAATGTGTTATGTCTGTTCTTGTGTGTGGGCACACATGTAAACAGGTGTGTGGGGAAACCCACATTAATATAGGGAGTCTTCCTTGTTCTTCTGCCTTACTCATTGAGGCAGGGTCTACCAATCAAACTAATGTGTTACTGGACAAACTCTGGGCATGCCCCCTCTGCGACCCCAGGCTGGGATTACAGGTTAGCTTCCATGCCCCACTGGCATTTAGTGGATTCTAAGGATCCAAACTATAGTCCTCCTTCTTTCATGACCAGTGCCTTAACTGCTCAGTCGTCTCCCTAGCCCAATGGTCTTATTTTCAAACATCAATATTTAACGTAAGGGAACAGTGAGATGTTTCGAAGAGGTCAGATGCTTGCTACCAAGCTAACACCTTGAGTTCAGTTCCCAGAATCCACATGGCAGGAACATGCTTCTAAACATCGTCCTCTGACCACTATAGTCATACAGTGGTATGTTCATGTGCACATACCTACCTACACACAGTAAAAAATAAAAAATTTAAACATTTACCATCCATTTAAATACATCTTTTGCAGCTGTTTAAATTTATTTATTTATTTATTTATTTATTTATTTATTTATTTATTTATTTGGTTTTTCGAGACAGGGTTTCTCTGTGGCTTTGGAGGCTGTCCTGGCACTAGCTCTTGTAGACCAGGCTGGCCTCGAACTCACAGAGATCCGCCTGCCTCTGCCTCCCAAGTGCTGGGATTAAAGGTGTGCGCCACCAACGCCCGGCCTAGCTGTTTAAATTTAAAATGGAGATTTTACATCATGTACAATAAAATATTCCCAGCACCTCAAAAATTCTGTTCCTAGGTAGACATAAAAAAAAAAAATCTATGTTGGGCATTGGTGGCACACACCTTTAAGCCCAACACTGGGAAGGTAGAGGCAAGTGGATCTCTGTAAGTTCGAGGCCACCCTGGTCTGCAGAGTGAGTTCTGGGATAACAAAGTCTATTACACAGAGACATCCTGTCTTGAACACCCACCCCCACCCCCGCAAAAAAAAAAAAAAAAAGAAAAGATAGGCCAAAGTAGAATGCTACCAAAGTCCAACTTGATAAACCAGTGAGTTTTACTGGGATTACTTCCTGGATTTGGGGTGAGGGGTAACTCAAAGACAACTTCATCACCACAAGTTTCCCCCACACCCCTGAACATGGGAGAGGGCTCTGGAAAGCAGGGTGACTGATCTCTGCTTCTCCAGACAGTTACCACCCAGCCTGGAGATCTGAGTTCCTCGGGATTCACATAATGGAAGGAAAGAACCAACTCCCAAAAGCTATCTTCTGATGTGCACATCCCCCCCACACACACACCAAGGGTGCTCAGAGGACAAAGCGCTTGTGACACAGTATGAGGACCTGATTACCTAGCACCCACATAAAAAAACCCAGCTGTAGGGGATCACACTTAGAACCCCAGTGCTGGGAGGCAGAGGCAGAAGGACCCCAGAGTTTTTGGGACAGCCAGTACAGCCAAATGACTGAGCTGCAAGTCCTTCCGAATATTCTGTCTCGAGAAATGAAGAGAAAGATAGAGGACGACCTCCAAAGTCAACTTCGGGCCTTTACTCGTCAACACGTGGGTGCACACCTCCCCTATATGCTGCATACCAATAGCAGTTTCTTAAAATTTCTTGTGGTTTGAGTTCCTTTTTATACTCAAGCATTAGCTAACCTACTTCATCCTCCTCTTTGGTATTTTGCAAATGCAAATCAGCTGGGTCTGGTGACACAAACCTTTAATTCCAGCATTCTGAGGTAGAGGCAGGGAGATCTTTATGAGGAGGACCCAGGCTACATAGCGAGACCCTGCTTGTAATAGTAATAATATAAAAAGTAAAAATAAATAAATAAATAAATGCTGTCAGCTCTTCAGTGCCCTACTTAGCTGTGGACTCTACATGATCACCAGACACTTGCAGACCTAATTCTTTTTTTTTTTTTCTTTTTTTGTTTTACAGAAAAGTTTCACTTCAAGTCATGGATGACACAGGTCAGTGGCCAACTTCTTCTTTTGAAGTTTCTCTTGTCACAAAGCTTCCTGTTAGCAAACTGAATTGTATCAGATTTGAGACACGAGAGAGGAATTTTCCAACCTTGCTCTGTCCTGGGTCCTTCCATGCTTCCCCCTGACCAAACTCCAGGAAGGATACAGTGAAGTAAACTTCCAAATAGTGCTGCCTATGATGAGCCTGGCAAAGGCCTATCATGCCCTCACTTCATTGCTGGGGTTTGTCTTTGGAGCACATTGCATAGTGGCTGCAGACTCTTTTGGAACAGCAGTATGTACGGTTTTGAACATGGTGGGTTCTGCCATACGCTTAGTTGAGCAATGAACCACGGTGTCCACAGGCCACCTGAGCTTGGCATGTGTCCTCAGTGGGGTCTCCTGAACTCTTAACTGATGTCCTAACAGTTGCATGGTCTTCCCTCTAGCCACAGGTCCCTGGAGGTAAAGGATTGCTTTGTAACTCCCTGATATTGGCAGTGGAGACCAAGAATGGAGTCCCATCTAACTGTAGGCCTGTCCTAAGAGAGTGGCCGGGGATGCAGCTCAGTAGGTAGCATGCTTACCTAGCATGCACAGAACCCTGCGTTGATCCCCAGCATGTGTAACCCAGGCGTGGTAACGTATGCCTGTAATCCCAGCACATGGGAAACGATGTAGGACAGGAAGTTTAGATGTTCATGATCATCTTGTCTAGGGACAATAGACCAGCCTACATACTTGACACCATGGAAGATTCTTGGGTGGTAGAGGATCTCTAAAAAGACTCCCTCTCGTAAGCTTCACCTATTCTCATGATTTGCTGCTGGTGTGTTTTGTTTTAGCACCAAAAGACATACAGCTCGGTGGAGTACAACTACAGACTGAAGACATTTGCCAACAACTGGAGGAAGATACATGCCCACAACCAGAGGAACCACACATTTAAAAGTACTGGGGAGCCCCTTTTCCCCCAGACCTCTGGGAGGAGGAGGGTGGGAACATCTCAGGGCTGGGAGAAAACAGTTAGTGACACAGGCTGGTGAATGGGTCCGCTCAGGGCTAATGGGCGTAGAGAGCAGGGACTCAGACTCTGAGGATGTCTTTAGTGAACCTCAGATAATAGCTCTGCAAAGGATATGAGTTTAGACGGCACTGGTAACCAACCCTCTGTGGATGTCATGAAGTTTACAAAAGATTCTAGAGGAGCCCTGCTGCTCCAAACTCCTGCAGGCCATCTGAGGGGAGAACACACAACCTAGATCTATTTGGGTTGCTATGAGACTGTCAGACTGCTCTGAGCCCGTGAGCAGTCTCTGGAGTCACCCAGCTTCGGCTCCGGGTGAGGGTCACTAGAAACACATCTAGCATGATCACTGAAGTTGCTGAGAAATGATGGCAGCTCAGCTCGATAGACTCTAAAGCCTGAACTAAAGGAAGACATTAGTCCGTCTCTGCCTGGGGCTAGTGTATGACCTTGGAGCAGGGGCTGACTCCCAGTGGTAATGGCAGTGTGGAACTGGCTGGGTTGCAGTGAAGACTGCACGTGGTGTGGGTGAGAAGACACCTTCACAGGCATCGCACCTCTTACCTGGGTGTTCATCAGTCTCACAGTAGGAATCTGAAACAGTGGGTGCCTGGGCTGCACCCCAGATCTACTGCACCCACCAACTCTGGGGTGCCTCTGCCTGCCTGAGCAGCTCCCAGGCACAGTAGCAGTTGGCCATGCTATATCCGAACCATATGGAATATAGAATTTTACAGAAGCCAAGTTGTAATGGCTATAAATAGAACACACGGGTAAACAAGGTCTCTTAGTTTTTTTGTCGGTTGCTTTATTATCAGTTAACTACGGTCTGTGTTTCATGTAGTTTTGCATGGTTTATTTCCCCTTCTCTTTTTCAGTGGGATTGAACCAGTTTTCAGACATGACCTTTGCTGAAATAAAACACAAGTACCTCTGGTCAGAGCCTCAGGTTGGTGTACTTCATTGTAAATAAATCAGGATCTTTCCACCCAAACCTGTAAGGAAACATTAAGCCTGCTGTGTTTCCAGCTAGATTCAGTCCTGCCCCCCGGCCATGCCTAGGGGTGCCCTGGAAATCTTGGAGGCAGCAGGAAGAGCCTTCTCTCAGCAGTCCCTTAGTGCAGGGCTCTGGCCTTAACAGTGGCAACCTGTGCTCTAGAAGACGCAGATTAAAATACAGGTGCCCTATTAAAGGGGAATTTCAGGTAGACTTTTTGTTTTGTTTTGAGTTAGGGTTTCTTGTAAACTAGGTTGGCTTAGATCCTGATATGTAACTAAGGCTTGAACTCCTAATCCTCCTGCTTCTACTTCAGAAGTGCTGGGATTATGGATGTGTGCCCACACTCAAATGTTCATTTCTCATTCCCTTTGGTAGGTATGTGTGCTTGAATGTATGTACATGTGTGTGGTTGATGTGCATGTGTGTGGTGTATGCATTTGTGTGGTATATATGTATGGTGTGTTTGTTGAATGAAAAAAAAAGAAAATGAAGGACATGACTGCTCCTAGGTATGATAGAGCAGAAAGTATATATATATATTGTTTGTTTTTGTTTTTCGAGACACGGTTTCTCTGTGGCTTTGGAGGCTGTTCTGTAACTAGCTCTTGTAGACCAGGCTGGTCTCAAACTCACAGAGATCCTCCTGCCTCTGCCTCCCGAGTGCTGGGACTGAAGGCATGCGCCACCACTGCCCAGCAAGCAGAAAGTATACTGTAGATAAAAAGGAGAGCATAGGGCTGGAGAGACGGCTCAGTGGTTAAGAGGAAGAAGAAAGGGAACCAGGTGCAGCAGTCAAGATGGCAAAAGGCAGAAGAGAGGAAGGGTAACCAAAATGACTGGATTATTCAGGGAAGAGACTCTGAGGGGAGGGCAGGCCAGTCCCTGGGCTGGAAAGTTTGGGGTTGAAGGTAGGGAATGCCAGCCATATCCTGTAACAAGAAGGGACTGAGAGATTCTGGGAGAACTTGGCAGCCAGGTCCTCTTTGATATGTTAAATAGGCACTTCAGCTGTTTGTCCCAGGGTTTGAGACTTAATATTCACTATATGCATGTGTGTAGTGGGTGCATGTGTGCATGGTGTGTGATATATGTGTGTGTGTGTATTCCTTATGTGTAGTGTTTGTGTATGTGGTGGATAAATGTGTGAGTACACCTGTCTGCACACAGGCATGCGCACATGAGGAGGCCACAGGTTAGCATTCCTATTTTCCTCTAATGCTCTCCACTTTATTTTTTAAAAATTTATTATGTATTTAGGTGTATATGTATGTGTGTCTTGGCATATATATGTGTGTGTATACAATATATATATATATTGTATGTGGGTGCCCATGGAGGTCAGAAGACAGTATTGGATCCCCTGAAGTTGAAGTTATAGTTGTAAGCCATCTGATGTGGGTGCTGAGAACCAAACCAGGGCCTTCTGGAAGAACAAGTGTCCTTAACTGCTCAGTGCTGAACCATCTCTCCGGTCCCTTCACCATTTTTTTGTTTTCCAGACAAGAGCTCATTATGTAGCCCTGGCTAGCCTCAACCTCTTTATGTAAACTAGGCTGGCCTTGAACTCGCAGAGACCCACTTGCCTCTGCCTCCTGAGTACAGGATTAAAGGCCTGTGCCACCATACCCAAGCTTCTTTCTACCTTAACCTGGAACTCATCCATTGGCTAGACTAGCTGATCGTCAAGTCCCCAGGATCTGCTCCCGACTCCCACACAGTGGGAAGTCACACAGTGGAAGGACTCAGGTCCTCATTTGTGTACAACAAGCACTGTGCCCACTGAGCCACCTCCCCAGACCTCTCACTCCCTTTTAATGATTCCATTTTAATTGTATTTTCCTTGAAAATAATGTATGTGATTGTTTCAGAATTGTTCAGCCACCAAAGGTAACTACCTCCGAGGTACTGGCCCCTACCCGCCCTCCATGGACTGGCGGAAGAAAGGAAATTTTGTCTCAGCAGTGAAAAATCAGGTATGCACGCAGACTTCACGTTTTCCCTCCAGAACGTTCCAGAACATACATGTTGTGAGACATGACCCTAGGATGAAGAACTCGGGTGCTCACAGCACCTTTGCAAGCCTACCCCACTCCTGCCTCTTCCCTTCATCTCTCCAGCCTCTGGTCGTCTCCTCTGCGAGGCTCTGGATGTCACTGCTTTAAGGTTTGGCAGCTCTGGAGGATGAAAATGGCCTCCATAAGGCTAAAGTCCCCGCCTTCCTGCTGTGACTCAGTCCCAGATCCTCCCATGACTTCCAGGCCTGTCTGCTGAGATGTTCTAACATTTCCTGAGCTAGCGCTCAGAGTCCAAGCACCAGGACCCTTTCTGCCTTTCCTCCCATCAGTCACGCACTCCTCAGGGCACCTGACTGCAGGCAGTCTCCTGACTGGCTGCCTTTGTGGAGTGGTGGGTGAGTTTCTGAGCCCAGCCTTTCTCACATGCATACATAGCATGTGGGGGAGGGACAGGGGGTCTTTAATGGTCTGAGAGCCCTCTGCAGGGCATAGGAGACTTGGCCAAGTGCCTGCCCTTTCCCCAGGTGCTGGGAGATTTTAGTGCCTACTCCTCTGAAGACTAGACCCCATGCTCTGCTGTCCCTGCTGCACTCTGCTCCCTCCCCCTGGAAATGGCACCGCAGCAGAATTCTCAAAGATGCTGACCTCTCCATTCCAGGAAACCGAGGTTACGGTTGCCTTCCAAGAAACTCTTGGCTTTATTCTGAAGCTGTGCTCAGGGAGCCTGGCTTCTTCACGTGAGCCACGTGGTACGAAAGGCATGTGGCGCAGCCCCACGTCTTTGCCGGCTCACCACAGCCTGGAGCCTGCTGGGCTAACTGGATGGGTGGACCACATTCCAAGGAGCAGAATAAGCTTCTGCCCCAGCAGGGAATGTGAAGTGCCACAGTGACCCCAGGGCAGTATGCGGGGCCGTACAATCTCAGATGGTCAAAGCCCAAGCCTAACCCTGCCCGCCGGACAGGTGGGAAGCAGATGGTTCCGATTTCTCCTGTTATTGAGATCCAAGGCCACCAGATAGGACTGACTACCTGGGATAGAAACAAGGCAGTACTCAGGGATGTATGTGACATCCTACCGTGGCTACTCTGTGATGACGGGCAGTGGCCATTGTACCCTACGTTAGGGGTACAATGAAAGCCCCCTTGAGCTGACGTAACTGTGCAGAGGGAGAAAATGGGTGGCTAGTCAAGATCCAAGATAAACAAGAGGGGACTCAAACAAGACCCGGACCAGGTCTCTGCCAGAGGTGGCACCACTCTCTTACAACCCCACTGAAGCAGGAGGATCTCAGATTCAAGGGTAGTCTCGGCTGTGTGGTGAGCAAAAAGAAACCAAAAACCCAGGTCTCTGTCCAAGTCAAGTTCTGCTTCCTCCCGTGATGCCTGCAGTCGCCTCCATTGTGGCTAAGTGTCCTCTTTTGACCAGATCTTCCTTCTCCAAAGGGAAGGCTTCAAGAGAAAAGATGAGGGGGAGTTTGGCCTTTGAGGGAGGAATTTAAGAGACATTTCAGAAGTGGAGTATGGAAGACAAAAACCAGCAAGGAGATAAGGATGAGTCTGACAGACTTACAGCAGCAACAGTTGTTACGGTACCCACTGGGTGACTGATTGACAGGCTATGCTAATCTTCTACAGATAGATTTCTGGGGACACTGCTGCCCAGATCACACGGCAAGTACATGAAAGAGCTAGGACTTTGACAGACTGGGTCGAGTACCAGACACCTAGCCTGACCTAACCTTCTAAAGGTGTAGTGAACCCGGAGCTTGGCAGCAGCGAGGGCGTTGGTTGGAATGAGATTAGCAGAAAGGTGAGACAGAAGGGTCTAGAAAGAACTTTGGTGACTCCTGTAGGTAAAGAGTAGGGAAGTTGGGAGGTGGTGGTGCACGCCTTTAATCCCAGCACTCTGGGAGGCACAGAGGGATCTCTGTGAGTTCGAGCTTTGAGGGCAGCCTAGTCTACAGAGTGAATTCCAGGACAGCCAGGACTGTTATATAGAGAAACTTGTCTCAGAAAAACCAAAAAGAAAGACAGAAAGAAAGAGAGAGAGACAAGGAAGGAAGAAAGGAAGGAAGGAGAGGATTCAACAAAGGACTCAATATAAGAGAGCCAGGGGCCATAGAATAAGCTCAGGAGATGTCTGTGACTCCATCAGAGTGGGGGAATTGTTCAAGAGGCCCAGACTGAGAGTCCACTGGGCAGGTCAGAACTGCTCCACGGGAGCCTCGGTTGCTGCATCGTGGGAGAAGGATGCCAGCCTCAGAACATGTGCAGGGCAGCAAGGACAGACCTTGCTAGCAGGGGCTTGTAAAAGGCAAAGGCATCCAGGGGCCGTGGTTCCCACACTGGTGAATGGAGCTGGGTCATGAGGGCACATTCATTGACTCCCTCTGCCCATGTGTGTTCCCTAGGGATCCTGTGGCAGCTGCTGGACTTTCTCCACCACAGGGGCCCTGGAGTCTGCTGTGGCTATCGCCAGTGGGAAGATGCTGTCTCTGGTAAGAAGTCAGCCATAGGCCATTTCCTACAGACGCCTCTCGCCACTGGGCCACGACCTTTACGCTCATTCATAGTGTTAGCCGAGACTTCTATTTCTATCGGATCTCACGTCCCAACCTTGAGGACATTTACCCCAGGAATCTCAACTGATGTATTTCCCAGAAAGAGTGAGAACAAAGAAATGCCCCAAGGGCTCCTTCCTGTGTGGATGTGGGTGTCCATCCCTTCCTCAGTTTTTCAGCCTGGTACTTCACCAAGATCTCGGGACAGTAGATATGCCTGGGAGACACCCCGTTCTAGGAGCTGTGCCCTCCCCCATCCTTGATTATCTTCATGCAGGGCAGAACCAAGGCCTATGTGTCTCCCCACTAACGCTCGAGAGAAGAGTGACACCTGTGGAGAAACTGTGCCGCTGTGTAGGGAGAGAGTCGAGCAAGGTCAGCGTGCTGTGAGAGCCTGGGTTGAGGAGTTACGGAGCAGTGCAGGGCCTGACACCCTCCCTCTAGCATACACTGTGAGACGCACAGCTCACACTGTGTTCACCCCTGCAGGACAAGTGCTCGTTAGGAGGGCCTACTCACGCCCTCTCAACTGCTTTGTAGCCAGGTCATCTTTGAGCCCCTGCCAACAATGCGGGCTGCAAGAGAGACACACTGGGACATACAGAGATGGCCTTATCCCTGGGGGACCTTACAGGGTCACTGCCACACACCACCACTTAGGCCACAAATATGAATGAGCTACTGAGCGCTGATGCTTGGCCTCCCTGGCCTCTCAGCCATCTCCTCATTGGCTCTGTGCTTCTTCCTCTAGGCTGAGCAGCAGCTGGTGGACTGTGCCCAGAACTTCAATAATCATGGCTGCGAAGGGTATGTTCCGGAGTGGGAGAGTCCGCCCCTTCTCCTCTCTCTCATTTTTGGCCGTATAGTCATGAAATCCCATCCACCCCACGGGTAGAATTGAAGGGTCTCAGAGCTGGAAGGTTCAGGGCTGTATCAAGATGTCACCCAGCCCTGTCCTCAGCACAGTCACCCTCACTAGTCACCAAAGCATCTGGACAAATGGCCAGAAGAGTAGAACATACTGCCCTCCAAACCCAAGTTCACATGTGGAGAGCTGATTGGCCGTGAGACAAGTTCCCTGAAGCACAAGCTGCCCCAGCTCTTATGAGTTGTGGAAATGTGTTCATGCATAACGCTGAACTGGGCCAGCTTCCTGGCCATCCTCTCAATAAGTCACTAACTCCCATTTTCACGGTGCCATTAGGCCTCCTCTGTCTCCATGTGAGCTAATCTGAGAGAGTTCTGTGTGGTTAGTCGGGTTTCTGTGTATCTAATATACACAAAGTCCCTTAGGTCCCCAGGACCTATTCTCAGCCTTGACCTCCCTGTCAGGCCCATCTTCTGCTTTGACAGCCATGAATAGCAGGGTCTCTATAATTCCAGCCTGAGTCCAGAGATTCAGGGCTGATGCTGTAGCCTGCCGGGGACCCACAGGGGGTTAGTTGCCCCCCACTTTTCATCTCTTCCTTCTGTGCAGCTTCACACCGCCTGTGGCAAAAGGCTGCCTCCTGGGTACCCCAGAGTCCTGCCGTCCTTTGAAGTCTGTTTGCTTTGGTTCATGCCACTACTTCCGTTTTTTCATTCAAGTGCCAGTTCCCACCATATCCGCCTGTGGACTTGGGCACAGGTGACCCAACAGACAGCAGACCACACAGAGCCAGCATTCCTCAGAGTTGATTAGCCATGCACAAGCATGGCGTAGGTCAGGTGCCAACACGGGTCACAGGGAGAAGAGAGAGCAAGGACTGGACTGAGTGGGGTCTGCCGAGTGAGTTTGTTTGTTTGTTTGTTTGTTTGTTTGTTTGTTTTGTGGGAGGTAGGAAGGTGGAAAGGAATGAGTTTTAGAGTCTTTCAAGTGTGAGTTCAGATTGTGACCTGGGCATAGTGTCCCACTTTTCTATGCTTCAGGAGATAGTAGCTACAGCCTGGGGCTGACATGAGGGGTCAGGCAGTGTCTGTGGAACATGGGCATACCTGGTGTAGACGGCATTGTGGCGACGATGATTCCTTCAGGCCTCTGAGGGGCTACCTGCTTCTTCTGACAAGGGCCTAGCTTGCAGGGGTATCTGCCCTACAGGGCCACTTGTGGCTAGCACAGACTCCAAGTGACTGAAACCAGGGGTACATTGCAGGCCTCTCAGAGACCTCTGCCCCTGGAATGTGCCCTACCAAGACCCCAGTGAACCAGGCAAAGGCAAACTCCAGCAAGCTCCAGCACTAACACCCACTCCTGTCTGCGGGGCCAGGCCCAGAGAGGCTTACATGTGTGTCCTTCTTACAGAGGTCTCCCCAGCCAGGCCTTCGAGTACATCCTCTACAACAAGGGCATCATGGGAGAAGACACCTACCCTTACAGAGGCAGGGTAACTATGGGGACCTCGGCTGTGTTTCCTCTCGTCTCCATTTCCCCCTTACCTCTCCACCGTGCTGCCATTCAAACCTGGCCTCTTCACGGAGCCAGCCTGTGCTCTCTGCTCATCCCAAGGGCCCCTCCTCACTCCTGCCTCTGCACTACCATCTCTTTCTGAATGTCCCTCCAGGACTCTCCCACCTCGACTCACCTAGCCTTGCTCCTTCCTAACTCCATTGGCCCACTTTGTGTCACCACCCTATCCAGAGTTTGGCCTCCCTTCATCAGGAAACGTCTTAACTGGCCTCACCTGGAGCTCTCCGACCAGCGAGGCGTCTATGCCTACCTTGGTCAGAGTACAATGAGGCTCCTAGGATCTGCTTCTCTCCCCCCGCAGGCCAGTCCTTCCCATCATCATGCCCACAATTCCTAGCTCCCGGAAACCAGGTCCCCCCCCACACACACAATTTCTGTCGGGCTATTTAATCTCTGTCCGCCTCCAGTTGGAACTGTTCCCTGGACTGTCCCTCTAACCCTGCTACATAGGTTCCAACGTGACTTCTCTTTCTCAGTTTCCTTCGGCTGGCTCAGATCCTTCCTTGCATTCTGACCAAGCAAGGTGTGTCCCAGATGGCACAGAACTGTCTCCTGCCCCTGGGTTCTAAACACCTCGAGGACAAAAGTACTTCTGAGCCTCTCTGGAGTGCTACTGTCAGCAAGATCCTAACACAGGCAGGCTGCTTAGACAATGCTGTCAATCTTCACGGGGAGGGTGGGACCGAAGCCACAGGCTAAGCATCTCTAACCTATATTCTCTTCTCTGTGCTGCCCTGAACAGGATGGTCGATGCAAGTTCGACCCAAAAAAAGCCATCGCATTCGTCAAGGAAGTCGCCAACATCACGCTCGTGAGTACTGGGTCCATCTCTAGCTAGGGAATGTGTGCTGATTATGGAGGCCACAAGAGCAGCTCTTCGTTACAGCTCGTCCCTGGTGGAGGAGTCTGGGTTACCTCCCACGGCTGCTCATCACCAACATTGAATGATGGAAGACAGGAGGGGGATCATGGAGTGACAGGGGATGCCCTGGATTCTGAACTCCAAGTCTATATGAGGGTTTGTGCTTGTGGCTCTGTTTTCTTGTCTGAAATGCAAGTGATAATCTCTATGGTCTCATTTGAGGTTGGAGCATTCAGGTTCAGCATGTGAGAAGGGAACCTGGACTCCTCAGTCAGGTCAGGCTAGGTTTTACTGCCGCCACGACCATCCTCAAGACTGAAGGGCATAGGGTATCTTGCTCCTGTCACCTGTTTGTGTTTTAGGTGGGGCTGGGAGTATCCTGTGGTGTTGACCTCACTTCAGCAGCCAGGCTGAGGGAGAGAGAGTAATAAATAAGCTGTAGAACGCCTTGGGTTCGTGGAGAAACACGTTAGTAGGGTACCAACAACAGACCAAAGTAATCACACTGTACCCAAGTCTAGCTTGGCAAAACCATGAGTTTGTTGGGCTTACTTACAGGAACATGAGTGACCTCAAAACAGCTGTATCGTCAAAATGTCCCATCCTAGAGAGGATGACAACTTCCCATCACTGCACAGATAGAGTTAACAAACTCTAGTGTGTACTAGAACCTGCAGGGATCACATGAAGCTGGGACAGAATTTTATATAGCTTTTTCAGGGACTCTGCAGGGAGGAAGTATCTGGAAGCTGAGTTGAGGGTCTAATGAGGGAACATCAGCAAGTCAAGTCTTGTTGGGTCTAATCAGGGTTACTCTGATTAAGATCGCTAACGGCTGTTATACTTGAAGGACAGCATTCCCTAGCACACAAGGATCATGTGAGCATGCATGAATGCCCCCATGAGTCCAGTAGGTACCGGCTCAGTCTGTGAGGTCTGTGTAGGGTGTGACAAACCTCCATGATGTGTGCAGGTGAGGGGTGTGTACTCATAAACAGATTCAGGTCACAAACATGTAGTTTATGTAATGACAGCAGCTGCCATCTAATTAAAGGGTTTGCCAGGCTCTCCATAGTAATAACAGTTTGGAGTGATTAGAGACACTGTAGAGCCACCTGACAGGCATTGTCTCCAAATAACCTAGGACATGGATGTGGTTATTACCTTCATTTGACAGATGAGAAAACTAAGTCTCAGGGGAGCTAAATAATGTGCCCAGGAGCTAGAAGGTGGGGCTGGATTTGAACTGAGAAATGTCATTCCAGAATTGAGGTTTGCCACCTCAGCAATAGAGCCCACACCCTGCAAAAGAGATGCTATCGTTTCCTGAAAAGAACCTGTTTTTAACCCACCCACCAAGACTGGACTTCTGAGCTGGGTGTTGGTGGCGCACGCCTTTAATTCCAGCACTCAGGAGGCAGAGGCAGGTGGATCTCTGTGAGTTCAAGGCCAGCCTGGTCTACAGAGCGAGTTCTAGGACAGCCTCCAAAATAATACAGAGAAACCCTGTCTCGAAAAATAAAAAAATAAATAAATAAAAGAAGAGTGGACTTCTGAGCCACCGTATTCCACTACAAAGTTACCCTTTTCCTAGTTCCCAGGAAGAATCTCGTCAGGAGCATCAGAAGAGCCCAGAAGGGCGCGACAGGACAAGGGACAGCTGTAGAAACAGTGCCAGCCATAGGGGTCTCACCCTTATTGTGGGCAGGCCTCTGTGATCTCCTGGGCTCCCAAGACCTCTAGCCACACTCAGAAGGAACCTCTTGCCTGAGGGAGAACACACTGAGTACTCTGTCTCCTACCATTTACTTCCCTTCTCCACTCCCCGAACCGCCCACTCCCAAGCATCTTGTCACTATAAGTCCCTCCAGTTTTAAAACACCCAAGAGTAGGAGCCACCCACCTGCCTGGGAGGGAGGCTTTTGAAGTCTACCAGGTACTCCTGGCTGCTGCTCTCACCCCACCTCCAAGAAGCTACCATGACTCCCTTCTGCCTACCTTCCCCCACCGAAGTGGGAGGCCCTACTTAGAAGACCCTCTCTCTGCCTAGGCTGGTCTTCTCGTTTCCACAGTAGTATCGGTCTTTACTTATTTGTGGGTCTATAAGATCTGTGTTCCACCAGTGAAGTCCCCTGGATTGTTTTCCTCCCGGATGTGGGGTTTTGGGAGCGGAAGCAAGGGTGCCACACCTATCTCTGCATCCTTCACAGTCCCTGGCCTCCATGGTCAGTCGTGACTGAGAAAATAAATGGCGGAGCTGTGTGTAAGGATGTGAGGGAGACAAATGAGAGATTCCCAGACACTCAGAAAGTGAAGGCAAAGGCTGGAGCCATGGGGGAGCTAGTTTGGTTTGGGAGCCAGATAAAAACCCAAATAGGCCTTAAGTATAGCTTAGTCTTAGAGCACTTGCTCAGCAGACACAGAGTTGATCCTTGGGGTTGATCCCCAACACAACAACAGAGGCCAGGCATGGTGGCATATGTCAAGTATAGGACACTTGCCTAACAAGTTCAACAGCCTAGGTTCCATCTCTATCACTATTTATTTTGATTTATTTTATTCTGTTTTTTGAGGCAGTCTCTATTACATAGCTCTGGCTATCCTGGAATCCAATGTGCAGAGCAGGATGGCCTCAAACTCCCAGAGATCCACCTGCCTCTGCTCCCAAGTGCAGGGGTTAAAAGTGTGCCCCACCACACCCAGTTTTAAAAGGTTTTTAAAAGATAAAATTTATTGGAGCCAGGCATGGTAATACTAGTCTGTAATCCCAGCACTTGGGAGGTGGAGGCAGGTAGATTGGGACTTCAAGATTATCCTCAGTTACAAAACAAGTTCAAGGCCAGCCTGGACTACATAAGACCCTATCTCAAAAGGTAACAAAAATCAACCCAGTGGGTGCTGGCCCTCTGCATAAGGTGGGGTCTGCACCACTGCTGAATGTCAGGGCCTACTGTTCCCATGGTTACCTGCATAGCTCTAAAACTCTAGCCCCTGCCTTGCGGCGACAGACCATAAGTATGGTGGGGAGGTGGCAAAGGCCATGCAGGTGTGTCAACCTTCTGTCTGTCCACAGAATGACGAGGAGGCAATGGTGGAAGCTGTGGCACTGTACAACCCTGTGAGCTTTGCCTTTGAGGTGACTGATGATTTTATGTTGTATCAAAAAGGCATTTACTCCAGGTAAGCTGGGGACCTGGGAGTCAGAAGGGAGAGGGCATAGGACTGGGTGGGCCTCCAGCTCAGCCTAGACTCTTAATTAGATTGTATTCATGAGACTTAGCATGTGTTCCCTCCATTAGTCTTCTTGGCGCTCTAAGTGTCAGGAACCAAGTCTCCACCTCAGAAAAGAGAGGTCACAAAGAATGCCACGGGTCAAGCTATTGTGGCCAGTCATGACTGAGGTCAAAGTCCATGCCCAGAGCTCAGGGGTCATCTACATAGGACTGAATCCAGTCAAATATTTGAAGATGAAACTGGAGATGTAGCCATTTAGTGAGTGCTTGCCTTGAATGCACACACCCGAGGTTCAGTCTCTAGCACCACATAGATGGTAAACGCCTGTAATTCCAGCACTGAGGAGGCAGAGGCGCAGAAGCTCAGACTCATCCTGTTACATAGTGAGCTCAGGCTAGACTGGTATGCACGAGACTGTCTTAAAAAAAAGAAAAAGACAGGAAATGGGAAAGGAAAAGTAGCTGTTCTCAAACACCAGAATCCTGTGCTGGAGGGTTCACTATCTGGTTCTTCAGGAAAGCCAGATTCCTTAGTACCCAGGGCCTCCTGGACAGTAGGCACTCACTCTGTTGCTGAACTACACCATGCTCCACTTAGCATGTCTAATGTGGGATTTCTTGTGCCCACACCCCTTAGCCTGCCAATTTGGTGACTGGAATGAGTTCAGCAAGGAGTCCTTCTATCCACTTCCTGCTCTCCAGGCTCCTTCATGCTCTCTGGTCTGTAGCCACCTCAAGAATGTTCATGTTCTTCTGGGCTTTGCCCTCAGCCCTCTGTGCAGTTGTTAGATAGAGCTGAAAAATCCACAGCCAACTGCTTGCTAAGAGTATTCATGACCCACCAAGTGTCTTCCAAGTACCAGACCTATGATTAGATCTGAGGGCCCCTGCCAGTTCAGCCTGGGAGGCCATGGAGACCTCCAACCCTGAGTTCCTCCAGTCCTAGTGCTCCTCAAAGGTCTCTGTGTTAAGAGACGCACATCCCTGCTGTTGCTGAGGGAGGGGTCAGAACCACAGCCCATCTCCTACCTGTCCCAGCCCATCATCATCTTCTCTGATGCCTCCTCATTGGCTTGTTCTAAACATCCCTCTCCCCTACAATAAACAGACACTCTGGCACCTCCTCCATTTGGACCCAGAGTCCTTCTGAAGTGCTTTTCTGTCCATGAAACCATGTGTGTAGGGGGATGTGTATGTATGTATGTATGTATGTATGTATTCATGTGTATTCAAGTGTGCACACATGTGAAGAGCAGAAGTCAACCTACCTGGGAAGGTGCACGTGCACATTTATGTGCATGCATGTGGAGGCCAGAAGTCAGCCTAAGGTGTCTTCCCTAATCACTCTTAGTTTTTGAGACAGGTCTCTCGCTAGACCTAGAGCTCAGTGATTCAGCTAGATGGCTAGCTTATGAGCTCCAGGAATCTGTCTGTTTCCACCTCCCAACACTGGGATTACGAAAGTAGGCTGGCTTTTTACATGCATGCTGGGACTCAACTCAGATCCTCAAGACTTGTGTGGCAAGCACCTTTACTTGCTGAGCCATCTCCCCAGACCTAGGATGATTTGGGCATAAATACCCAAGGCTCCTGCTACCCCAGGCTTGGCTTTGGGACCTTGGTAATTTTCTCCCCTCGTTCTCTGCACTCATCTGCCATCAAACCTCCCCTCCTGTCTCTTCTCATCCCAGCCACGTGGAAGAGCTTATAGCTTCATGTGTATCCTCTGCTCAAGGGTGCTTCTTCACTTCCTGTCCCCCTGGATTAGATCCCACTCCCTGGGTTCCGGTCCCCTACCTCACTGACACATCCCTCAGACCATTGCAGGGCAGCCTCTTTGAACAACTGCTCCTGCCAAACAAAGCTTTCTAAGAGCAAAGCGGGTCCCTACTGCCTGAGCCCAGCACCTAGCCCTGTACCTGACACTATGGTGACAGTTCCATGGGTTCATTTAATTTCCATGTGCCTCTGGGATTTTTTTTACTTTGGTTTTTTGATACAGGGTTTCTCTCTGTAGCCCTAGCTGGCCACAAACTCACAGAGGTTCACCTCCCTCTGCCTCCAGAGTACTGGGATTAAAGGCGTGCACCTTTTTTCCTTGGCCATTGAATCAACATATGGTCACTGCAGTTTGTCCTCTTGAAGTCATGGGATTTCTCGTGGAGGATAAATGGCAAGGCTACATATTATTCATAAGCACAAGTTAGTTTTGAGAAGGAAAGCAGAGGCAACAGAACAGTGTGTTGAGTTCTAGCTGGGCTCTGTCGCTTGCAGAAGTGCAGCCGGGGCTACTCTTGTTGGGATTCAGAGGTGTCCACTGTGGAGCGTGGCCAGTACTGTGTGGGGACGGCAGGAGCAGGACGCAGAACTGAGGAGACTATGGTTGGGCCATAGCTGATTGACACCCTGCACACAACCCTCCCTCTAATTGGAAGCATCCCTCTACATTGCTAGAGAGCCCTTGTCTGACAGTCCTGGCCTTTATCCTTCCTGTACTACAAACCTTTGTACATTTCATTTTCATTTCTAGTACTTCCTGCCATAAAACTCCAGATAAGGTAAACCATGCAGTCCTGGCTGTTGGCTATGGAGAGAAGGATGGAATACCCTACTGGATCGTGAAAAACTCTTGGGGCACCCAGTGGGGGGATAAAGGGTAAGTACCCTTTGGTCCCACTACTGGGGCACATGTTGCTCAGATCTAGAGGCACCCCCTAAGTATGAGGCATCTCCACCTCAAACTTGCAGCTTCTAAGGAGTTGGACAGCAATCCCTAGCCAGGTCAGGGAAAGGGGGCATGAGAATGGAACCTTCATATGCCAAGGCCCGATTAGCAAGACCCCTCATAGGATCCCAGGTCCCAACAAGTCTTCTGCAGGGGACAGGAGACCAATTGGCTGAATGGGGTCTCTAAGTGAAAGTTGGAAACAGCCAGACCTCAGCATATTGCTGGGACAAAACTAACCTCTGGAAGGGTCTGAGAAGTGAAAGCAATGAATTTGTTACAGTAAGTGACAGCCCCTCCTTTTAATCAGGACGGACAAACAGACGACCGTGCTTGCTCGTGCGTGCGTGTGTGTATACACACACACACACACACACACACACATACAACCTGAAAAGGAGAGTTTTTTATTGATAGGAGGTCCTAGTGGTTAGGTAACTATGTGAGGACCTGGTCAGAGGCAAGAAGGGAGCCTTCATCAATTCTGGGAAGAAGTAGCATATGCAGAGAGAAAAAGGAAGAAATTAGTTACAAAGTGAGGCCAGTCATTTTCTGCTGATAAAACAAGCCCATGGCAATTGTTCTATGAATAAATTCAGAGGGCCTAATCCCTGGAGTCATGTCTTGGTTTGCAGAACATTTCTAGAAAGCTGCCACTAGTCAGGCCTCAATCCTCTCTCTCTGCCCAGGTACTTCCTCATTGAGCGTGGAAAGAACATGTGTGGCCTGGCTGCCTGTGCCTCCTACCCCATCCCTCAGGTATAAGCAAAGGCTTCAAAGGCAAAGTGAGGAACCAGCCCTTCGATGGAAATGTGGAGAAATTCACCCAGAGTGAATTCACCCTCAGGCCTGCACTGAGCCTAGAAGAACAAAGATGTTCAAGTTAAGAAGAGGAGCTCCACCAGCAACAAGGCCACCCATGTGGCAGCCATCACCAGCCGAAGGCCTTGACTGTGGTTTTGAACTGACTCCAACTCCCATGGCCTCAAATCTTCTCTTTCTAGCTCTCCTCATGTAGAGAGAGCTGCAGTGACTGCCTTCTCTGTGTTGTGTATTCAATAAACTAAACACCTCCCTGAGCTAGGCCTGAGCCTCTAGCTGACATTCCATTCTATCTGCTGGGTTGGGGAAGGCACCACTGGTTGGGAGTATGTTAGGGGTGCTGGTGGCAATGCCAGCCAGATGGAGATCCCAGGAGGAAAAGCAGGGTTAGAAATTATACTTTTTCCAGATCCTAGGAGGAAGAATAGAGGAAATGGGCCAGGATACAGCAGAGCCAGGGCAGCCCTTAAAGCTAAAACTAAAGAAAAGAAACTGACTAGTTTTTAATCAGATAAAATTTTAACAAAATCAGGAAAAAGAGAACTACATAACAACAAAATGTTGTCTAGGAATAACTGCCCAAAGTGCTATATATATCAAGAAAAATATAGCCGGGTGTTGGTGGTGCACACCTTTAATTCCAGCACTCAGGAGGCAGAGGCAGGCAGATCTCTGTGAGTTTGAGGCCAGCCTGGTCTACAGAGCGAGTTCCAGGACAGCCTCCAAAACAATACAGAGAAACCCTGTCTCAGAAAATAAAGAAAAGAAAAAAATATTAAATTGTGAAAACCTGCCAGGTGTGGTGGCATACCTCTTTAAACCCAGCACTTAAGAGACAGGGACAATTCACTCTGAGTTTGAGACCAGCCTGGTCTACATAGCAAGTTCCAGGCCAGACAGCCAAAGCTACAGAGTGAGACCCTGTCTGAAAAAACCAACAACAAGGAAATTATGAAACACCCCAAAGAAGTAGAGAGCATGCAATTTTCTCAAGTGAAAAGATAAATGTAAATTAAATTCTTGCTGGAATAGAAATGTAAGTTTAGTATATTTCCAACTAAAATCTAAGAAAAAAAAGATTCTGTTTACCTGGGGAAAAGAGTGAAGATTTTAAAATGTTACTGGTTTTTAATCAATTTAAAAATATTTACTTTGGGTGCCCATGCATATACATATGAGGTCAGAGGACAGCTCATGGAAACCCTTGCCTTCCACAGTGGAGGGTCTATGTATCCCACTCTCTAGGACTGGCTATAGCATCACGAGTTGCTGAGCCAACTCACCAGCCCCAAGATAAAATTTATTTTTATAAACCAGTAATGAGAGCCAGGCGATGGTGGCCCACACCTTTAATCCCAGCACTTGGGAGGCAGAGGTAGGCAGATGTCTGTGAGTTTGAGGCCAGCCTGGTCTACAGAGTGAGTTCCTAGACATCCAAGACTATACGGAGAAACCCTGTCTCAAAAACCCAAAAGACCAAAAATAAAAACAAACAAAAAACCCAAACAAAACAACCCCTCAGTCCAAGAAATGAGATTATTTTCACATTAAAATATACAAAATGTCAACCCTTAAGGCAGTACACAAATTAAAGATAATTTACCACAAAGAATCTTTTAAAATAAGAAGTCAAGGCATCAGTAACAGAAGACAATTAGAACTTTTGTTTTATTTATTTTTTTGAGATAGGGTCACTGCATAGATAGCCCTGGGTGGCCTGAATCTCCCTACATAGACCAGGCTGGCTCAAACTTGCAGAGATCTCCTATCTCTGCCTCCCAAGTACTGGGATTAAAGGTGTGCACTACCAGACTGGCCTATGATTTTTGCTATCCAATAAAAGGTGTTAAAAATAATAGGCCACATAAAACAATTTACATTAACCCCTCACTTACTAAAATTTATTTTTATGTGCACTGATGGTTTGTCTGCATACATGTCTGTATGATCCCCTGGAATTGGAGTTGGGAGCTGTAACATGGGTGCTAGGAATTGAACCCTGGTCCTCTGGAAGAACAGCCAATGCTCTTAATCACGGAGCCATCTCTCTAGCTTCCTTGGATCCAAGAGCAGCAGACAAGGTGACATATGGGATGGATATATTCCATATGCATTTGAACCCCAGGAATCCAGAAAAGACATTCCTCAACAGGTCCTGCCTAATGGGTCTCAGATACTCTGTCTTGACACCCTTCCTGAAAGGCCCTTTCAGACATCTGTGGATCTAAGGAGCATAGAGTACATCTTTGGCACCAAACAGCTCTCACTTAGGGAAAGATTTTTTTTAAAGTTATAGCCCAAAGATAAAAGACATCACAAGACGGGGCTGGAGAGATGGCTCAGAGGTTAAGAGCACTGACTGCTCTTCCAGAGGTCTTCAGTTCAATTCCCAGCAACCACATGGTGGCTCACAACTGTCTACAGTTCAATCTGGTGTATATGTAATAAATAAATAAATCTTTTAAAAAAAAGACATCCACAAGAGAACTAGATCAATGCCTTTTATCAATAAGGATACCTCAATAAAAAAACAGCAAGAAGGGTGGCCCACCCAAACCACATGTGACTCACTCCAGGAATAAAGAGTGAGTCAACATGTAAAAATCAATATGAGATGCCAAATTACTATAACAAAGGCCAAAACAGTGCACAAGCATCTCAATAAATATGAAGAAAACACTTGAAATAAATTCAATACTTGAGGGCCGGATGTACAACATAAGGGTACAAAGCTTTCCTAATTAGATACAGAATGTCTTGAGTAAAATGGGGGTTGGCACAGTTAGATGGCTCAGAGGGTAACGGCAGAACCTGAGTTTGAACCCAGGACCCACATTTTGGAAGGAAACCAATTCCCTCAAGTTGTTTTCCAATGCCCTTATACATGGGGTAACAACCGCACCCATGAGTACATTCACAAATACACACGATAAAAAAAAATGTGACTTTAAAAAAAAATCTAGCATTGGGGTGAGGAACAGTCAGTGACAGACTACATGTGTAGCATCCCTGGTGCACGAGCCTATGCGTACGAACACACATAATCTTATGACTTAAAAAAACCTTAATGAACTACGAATAGATATCATCCTGACAAAGGACATCTAAGAAAAACCCACAGCTACTATGCTAGTGGTGAAATACTGAATACTTTCCCCCTTCGGCCAAGGACAAGAGAGGAATTTGCTCTCAGCAGCTCTGTTCAGTACAGCAGGTGATAGATAGCCTGGGCAATTAGATGAGACAATGGTAGAACAGGTATTCACACTGAAAGAAGCAAAACTACTCTACCCATAGATAAAACCTTATATACAGCAAACCCTAAGGACAGGTACACTATTAAGGGTTGAAATAAGGAAATCCAACTGAAGGCTTTTGTATATTAAAGGACACCATGGACACCAAGTGAAAATTTCAACAGGATTTGCAAAACATCTAACAGAGATCTAGCATCTGAAATAGGTAAAAACAAAAACAAAGGGGCTGGAGAGATGGCTGCTCAGTGGTTAAGAACACTAGCTGGTCTTCCAGACATCCTGAGTTCAATTCCCAGCAACCACATGATGGTTCACAACTATTTGGTGCCCTCTTCTGGCCTGCAGGGGTAGATGCAGACAGAACACTATACATAATAAACACATCTTTAAAAAACAAAAAACTCCTACATCTCAGCAAGATCCTTTCTTTTTTTTTTTAATCTTTTAACTTATTTGGGAAGGGGCAAGAGGACATGCACATACCACAAAGTATGTGTAGAGATCAGAGGCAACCACCAGGAGTCTGTTTTCTTCCTCCACCACATGGTTTCTGGGAATCAAACTCAGGTCCTCAGGCTTGTGGGCAAGCACCTTTTTATGCCCTGAGCTATCTCAGAGAGCCCTTCCCCTTTAAAAATCTATTGCTTATATTCTGTGTGTGCATGTGTATGTGTGTAGACACGCAGGTGCCACAATGCATATATCGAGTCAGAGGACAACCTGTGAGAGTTGGTTCTACCCCCATGCAGGCTCTGGGAATCAAACTCAGCTCATTAGCTCGAGACGACTGCCCTCGCCCACTGAGCCACCTTATCAGCCCGGTAAGTGCCCTTTTTGAGGTGGCTGATGATTTAGCTAAAAGTAGAATTCTTGTTTAGCATGACAAGGCCCTAGGTTTCATACTTAATATTGCTAAAAGAAAAGCAAGCAAACAAAAGAACACTCTTGCAGACAGTTAACAGCTATATTCCCAGAGGCAGGAGAACCGACACAAACCTTTGATAAACCCGTCTTCTCGTTTCTATGGAGCAATGCCTAGACTGTTGCAGACTATAGCGGCCAATAGCATTTTTCTTGTTTGTTTGTAAGACAAGACCTTGCTGCATAGTCCAGGCTGGGTTAAACCATGTAGGGAGCCTCCTGCCTCGGTCTCCTTAGTGGTGGGGTTACAAACATGCACCACATCACCCAGTTTAAAATGTTTGTATTAAACTAGAGTTGTAAATTGTGAAACAAAAGACAACCAGAATATACATTTCATAAAGCTTTTTTAAAAAGTCAAAATAAGCCAGGCATGTGGCACACATATTATTCCCACACTGGGGAGGTTGAGGCAGAAGGTTCTGAGTTCCAAGATGAGCCTAGGGTACATATTTTAATTCTAAGCCAGCCTGGGATATGGATGGTGAGGAGAAAGGCTAGTGAGGGAAGCGGGGTATGGAGAGGGAGATATAATTATTAAAAAAATAAAGTGGTCTTGGATGAGTCTGCCTCAGCAAAACAATGGGGAAATTGCTTTAAAGCAGCCAACTCCACCCCCAAGAGGTGATTTATGTAAAGTACAAGTAGTCCGCTGAATGAGAGCAGCCTTCCTTCCTTCCTTCAGCCTGGGCCAGCAGCCCAGGGTGCAGAAGATGACTAGAGTCAACAGCGGATGCAGGCAGCAAGCTGGAAGACCTTTCTTCTACTTCTTCAGGGTTCCCTCTAATGACCCTGACTGCAGAAAATTTCAGAGCTGAGCAGTGGTATGTGTGTGTGGTAAGAAGAGTGTGAAGGTCAGAGGACAACAACGTTGGGGATTGAACCCCGGTTATTACGCTTGGCAGCAAGTTTCTTTCTTCACCTGCTCACAAAGCACAGGATTAAAGCCCAGACCCAGTGTCTTCCTAATAAACCCAGTCATTCCCTCCTGAGCATCCTCATCCCCAAGGACTCTTCCACACCCTTTATCACCAGGCCACACTTCACCCTGAAGCCCATGATACGTCTATCCCTCCTAT